CGGAGTGTCTTTTGCAATTGATCCGATTTCTTTCTTTTATGTCTTCGGCACTGAACTCGTATACTCCCGAGACCTCATGGGCGGTGGCTTCAAGTGAGCAGCAGCAGCAGCAGCAGCAGCAGCAGCAGCGGCGGCAGCAGCGGCAGCGGCGGCACAGCAGCGGCGGGAGGAGGGGCAGCAGCAGCAGCAGCGGACGCGGTAGCAAAAGCAGTGACAGAAGCAGCAGCGGAAGCTTTTGCTGCTGCTGTTGTTATTGCGACTGCTGCTGTACTCGCTGCTGCTGCTGCCGTTGCTGCTGGTTCGGTTGCCGCTGCTGCTGCTGAGCTGCTGCGTCTGGTGCTGTTGCAGCTACTGCTGCTGCTGCAGCTGTTGAGCTTGAACCGATGCATTTGGCGTTGCTGCTGCGATTCTTGTTGCTGCTGCTATCTTTCCGGTTGCTGCTTCTGCTGTTGCTGCTGCTGCTGTCGCTGCTGCTGTTGCTGCTAGTGCATTCTCTACAGACAGTCTTACACAGCGCCTCAGCCACAGTTGCTGCTGTTGCTGCTGCTGCCACCTAATCCCTCAACGGGAGCAGCACTAGTGCCGCTCACCAACAGCAACACCAGCAGCAGCAGCAGCAGCAGCAGCAGCAGCAGCAGCAGCAGCAGCAGGCGTGTGAGTGTGCTGCAGACTGGCGAACCCCAACGCCTCCCGCACTTGCGGCTGTGGTTTATCTTTTGGAGTTCCTCGGGACTTCAAGCCAGCTTCGCCAATTAAGCAGCAGCCCACCAAGTGCAGCGGCAGCAGCAGCAGCAGCAGCAGCAGCAGCGGCAGCAGCAGCGGCAAGAGCAGCAGCAGCAGCAGCAGCAGCGGCAGCAGCAGCGGCAAGAGCAGCAGCAGCAGCAGCAATGGCAGCAAGAATGGCGGCTGATGAGGTGCTTGGGGCCGCAGGTTTTTGTGTGGCTGCACACACACACAATACTTACCAAGTACCAGCAGCAGCAGCAGTGCTGCTGCTGCTGCTGCAGCTGAGCTGCTAGGTTTGCTGCTTCTCTGGAGAAGGCCAGGGGCCCTTGTTTCTTTCTGTTTTCTGGATTCTTTTTTATTTATTTGTTTTCTTTTGAGGCGTACTTACACCTCAGCAAGCTTCAAACCCTAAACCCTAAACCCTCGCCACTGGCTGCCCTCCTGCAGCAGTTTCACGCAACCTCGGGCTGCGACTAGTGCAGCAGCAGCAGCAACAACAGCAGCAACAACAGCAACAGCAGCAGCACAGTCAGACTGACAAGAAGCACCCCCCTCGGGGTGCAGCAGCAATGCCGAAGCAACGCTGCTCCTAAAGTTTTGTTTTATAAATTCAAATTGTTGCTGCTGCTGCAGCAGCAGCAGCAGCTTTCCCTGCAGCTGCTGCTGCAGTTGCTGCTGCGGCCACTGCAAAGATTGCCGCCGTTAGTGTATATGCTGCTGCAGCAACTGCTGCGGCAGTCACCCTAGCCGCTGTTGCCGATCATTGCTTTAGCAACTGCAGCTGCTGCTGCTGCAGTTGCTGCTGCTGCTGCTGCTGCGACTGTTTTGGCCGTTGCAGCAGTTGCTGCTGTCATGGCCACCCAGACTTACGAGTAGAGCGGCAGCAGCAGCACCACGTCTGTGCACACAGCAGCAGCAGCAGCAGCAGCAGCAGCTGCTGCTGCTGCTGCTGCTGCAGAGCTGCTTTTCCCTAGGACTGCCAAAGGGTGATATAAACTCAAATAAAATAAGAAAGCGAGACACGAGACGATGGAGAGCTATGCTGCTGCTGCTGCTGCTGCTGCTTTGTCTGGGGAGCCTTTAAAAAGAGACAATGCGCAGAAGCCACGTGTGCTGCTGCTACCTGCTGGTGCCCTTTCTAGGCACTAGAATGCTCGAAGCGCAGGGGCGAGAAAGACACGGCGGCTGCAGCCGCTGCTGCTGCCGCTGCTGCTGCATCGCTACTGCTGCTGCTGGTGCTGCAGCAGCAGGAACCTTGCAGTCGCTCTTTGTGCTGCTCGCAAAGCTGCTGCTGCCCGTCACGGGGGGGGAGACCCAGCAGCTTTTCTGCGTTCCCGTTGCTGCTGCTGCTGTTGCTGCTGCTGTCGCGGCGGCTGTTGCTGCAGCCGTTGCCGCAGCCGTTGCTGCAGCCGTTGCTGCTGCTGCCGCCGCTGCTGCTGCAGGGCTCGCAGCGCCCGGCACCACTGCGCCCACGAGCCGGCTGCTGTTGCTGCTGCAGCTGCTGCTGCTACTGCTGCTGAAGCCACCGAAAAACACGCACTCTGCTGCTGCTGCTGCTACTCCGCTAGACCTGCAGCGGGTTCCTTGTCTGCTGCAAGTGGGCCGCCGGGCACTGGCGATGGGGGCCCCCACCCGGGGCCCCTGGGGACCCCCTGGGGGCCCCCCTGGGGGCCCCCTTGGGGGCCCCTGTGGGGGCCCCTGTGGGGGCCCCTGTGGGGGCCCCCCGGGGGCCCTCCCTAGGAAGCCCCGCATATTTGTGGGGCGCTGCAGCCGCAGCATCTCGCGGCAGTTTTGCAGCCGTGCTGCTGCTGCTGCTGCTGCTGCTGCTGTTGCTGCTACGGCTACTGCGACCGTGGAGTTCCTGCTGCTGTCGTCGCTGCTGCTCCTCCGGCTTTTGCTGCTGCTGCTGCTCTTGCTGCAGCAACTCGCCATGTCCACTAGGCATGCAGCGCAGCTGCTGCTTACTGCTGCCTTGATCTGCTGTTGTTGCTGCTGCTGCAGCAGCTGCTGATGCTTCCGTGCTGCGGCGTTTGAGGTCCCTCTGCTGCTTCGGGTGCTGCTGTTGCTGTGGCTTCGGTCAAGTGCTGCTGCAGCTGGCGCTGCTGCTGCTGCTGCTGCTACTGCTGGTTTTGCCCCTGCTGAATCAGCAGCAACGGTCTTCTGCACACGGGCTTCTCTTACTGCCTCTGCGTCAGATTGTTGCTGCTGCTGTTGCTGTTCCTGTTGCTGCTGCTGCTCTTGCTGCTGCTGCTGCTGCTGGTAGTTGATGCTTTCCCAAGGCAGCGGCAATGTCTCTGCGAAGCAGCAGGGGCATCTCCAAATATTTTCTGTGTCTGGAGTTGCTGCTGCTTCTGCTGCTGCTTTTGCTGCTGCTGCGTCCGCTGCTGATGGCGGTGTTGCTCCTGCAGCAGCTGCCTCTTTTGCTGCTGGTAGTGGAGCCTGTGGGGAGTCTGTATACTGGTCGTCTGCGTTTATCCTTTGCTGCTGCTCCTGCTGCTGCTGCTGCTGCACTTGCTGCTGTGTCTGCTGGTGCTGCTGCAGGTGCTGCACGTGGAGGAGGTGCTGCTGCTGCTGCTGCTGCTGCTGCGGGTGCTGCAGCAGCAGCTGGCAGGCAGGGGCGTTGCTGGGGAAAGCCACAAGCTGCTGGAAAGCAGCAGCAACATAGGGGAAATGCATGGGGCTTTTGGGGCTGCAGCAGCGGAAGAAGCAATGGAACTGAACAGCAGCAAAAGAAAACAAATAATAAAAGACAACTTCTGCTGCTCGGCTCGAGAAGCAGCAGCAAAAGAAACGAGACACCTCCGGCCGCAGCAGCACCCACTGCCACAGCCACGCAGCTATGTTTATCAGCGTAATTGCGAACGAATAGCTCCCGCTGCTGCTGCTGCTGCTCCCGCTGCTGCTGCTGCTGCTCCCGCTGCTGCTGCTGCTGCTCCCGCTGCTGCTGCTGCTGCTGCCTTGCTGCACCATCTGCTGCGCCTCTAAGGGAAAAGTGTGGCAGAAAAACAGCAGCGCCCGCAGTGCCAGCAAACCGCAGCCTCGAAAGTCCGTGGAGGGGTCATTGCCCTGCAAGCAGCAGCAGCAGCAGCAGCAGCAGCAGACGGGTGCAGCACAGCAGCAGCAGCGTGGGGACAGGCCTTCACAGCGTCGCGGATGCTGCATCAGGCACTGCAGGAGCAGCAGCAACACTAGAGAGAGCAGCAACGGCAAGGAGAACAACGGCTGTAATGCCAAGCAGAACAGCAGCAACAGCAGCACGAAAAACAGGAGCAGCAGCAGCAGCAGCAGCGTACCTGGAAGCCCAGCAGCTTCCACTCTTTGGAGACTGTGCTGCGGAGGGGCCTTTGGGGCATAGAGAGCTGCCAGAGAAGCGCAAAAAGGGGCGCGTGCTGCTGCTGCTGCACTTGCTGCTGCTGCAGCTGCTGCAGCAGCTGCCGGCTGAAGGTCAGGCCTCGCAAAGCGCTAAGCGGGCGGGAGAGATCTGCAACAAAACCAGCAGCAGCAGCAGCATTTCAAGTAAAACAGCAGCAGCAGCAGCAGAATTTCAAGTAAAACAGCAGCAGCAGCAGCAGCACTTCAAGTAAAAGAGCAGCAGCAGCAGCAGCAGCCCGTGGCACGCCTGCGCTCCGCTGCTGCTGCTGAGGCGAGCTGGCAGCAGCGACCGCAGCGCAGCAGCAACGCCAGCAGAAACAACAGCGCCTGCAGCAGCAGCAACAGCAGCAGCCGCAGCAGCGCCAACAGCAGCCACAGCGCCAGCAGCAGCAGCCACGCCAGCAGCAGCAGCAGCAAGGCGACTGACTGCATGCAAAGGCTTGTTTGTCTTTAATTCTTTTGCTGCTGCAGATGGAGTCCACTGCCTTTCGGAAAGAAGTGCAGCTTTGGAGGCGGGCCACGTCTGCTGCGTCCTGTTCACAAACGCCTTGTGCTGCTTGCTGCTGCTGCTGCTGCTGCTGCTGCTGCTGCTGGTCGTTGCTGTTCGTGCACTTGAGGGCGCAGCAGATGACGTCCTGGTTGTTCTCCCACGGAGTGCTGCAGCAGCTGCTGCTGCTGCTAACGCTCTCGCCGTCCGTGTCTGCAGCCTTGGCCGCAGCAGCAGCAGCAGCAGCAAGGGCCGCAGCAGGCGCGTCCTGCAGCAGCAGCAGCGCGCGCTTTGCATGCGCTGGGATTTGCTGCGAGCGCAGCAGCAGCGGCGGCAGCAGCTCGGGGGCCAAGCCTTTGCTGAGGTGGCGCTCCAGCTCTCCCCGCTGCTGCGTTAGCCGCAGCAGCCACTTCTTCACGCCTGCAGCAGCAGCAGCAGCAGCAGCAGCACAGCAGCACACCGGTATGTGCACAGGGGGTTAAGACACACTGATAAGGGAAGAACAAAGCAGGTGCTGCAGGGACGGGAATCATCACAGTGTTGCTGCGTGTTCTGCTGCTGCTGCTGCAGCCGCTGCTGCTGCTACTGCTGCTGCTGCTACTGCTGCTGCTGCTGCTGCTGCTGCTGCTGCTGCGTACCTTTGAGCTTGGGCCGCCGCACGTAGAGGCCATTGTCAGGCACTAGCTGCCACTTGGAGACCCCATTTGTGGGGCTGAGTTTGAGGCGTGCTGCAGCAGCAACTGCTGCTGCTGCTGCTTCGGAGTGCCGCGACAGCAGCGCCTTGCTGCTTCTTCCCGGCCTAGCAGCAGCAGCAGCAGCAGCAGCAGCAGCAGAGCAGCTGCCACCAAGGTCCAGCAGGTGCAGCGAGGCTTGGGGGACTCTCCCCGACCACTTCCAGGTCTTTTTAGACCGCTGCAGTGTTGCTGCTGCAGTTGCTGCTGCAGTTGCTGCTGCTGTTGCAGCTGCTGTTGCTGCTGCTGTTGCTGCTGCTGTTGCTGCAGCAGTTGCGGCTGCGGTTGCTGCTTTTGTTGCTGCAGTATTTGCTGCAGCAGCTCGTGCAGCAGGTGCAAAGGGCCGGCAATCAGCAGAAAAAGAAAAAGGAGCAGCATGCTCCCGCTTCTGCTGCTGCTGCTGTTGCTGTTGCTGCTGCTGCTGACCTGTTGCTTCCTCTCTAAGTGCTGCTGAGGCACCTACTGCTCTGTCTGCTGCTGCCGTTGCTGCTGCTTCTCGTGCTGCTGCTGCTGCTGCTGCTGCCGCTGTTGCTGCGGGGCTACGACTTCGAGAAGCCCTCCTTCTGCAGAGGCGGCCAAGGGACCCATGTGGCTGCTGCTGCTCATGCTGCTGCTCATGCTGCTGCTCCTGCTGCTGCTCCTGCTGCTGCTCTTGCTGCTGCTCCTTCTGCTGCTCCTGCTTAAAGAGACAAGGAATGTGGCTGCTGCCCTTGTTCCATTGCGGAGAGAATGGAATGGCGTGTTTGCTGCTGCCGTTCTTGCTGCTGCTGCTGCTGGCTGCTGCACCAACGAGGCCGCGACTTTCTGCTGCTGCAGCAGAAAGACACGTGGGAAAAGCAGCTCCCTTTTGCCGCTGCCCGCCCCGCAGCAGCTGAGGGCAGCCAATGTCAAAAGGATCTGCTGCTGCTGCTGCTGCTGCTGGATCTGTTGCTGCTGCTGTTGCTGCTGAGTCTGCTGCTAGTTCTGCTGCTGCTGCTGCTGAGTCTTCTGCTGCTGCTGCTGCTTCTGCTAGAAACTTCATTGGCTCGCCTTCCCGAAGACGGGTTTCCGCAGCATCGGCAGCCAGCCCGTGCATTGTTGCTGTTGCTGCTGCTGCTGCTGCTGCTGCAGCTGTCCTGGTTGGGCCTCGGTGGTGTTGCTGCTGTTGTTGTTCCAATTTCTAGCAAGAAGGCAGTGGCGGTCGGGGGGCTGTCTTGCTGCTGCTGGTGCTGCTGCTGCTTCTGCTGCTGCTGCCTATTTGGCAGCAGCTGCGCAGCAAGGGATGGTGCAGCAGACACAGCAACAGCATACCTCTGGGGATAAGATCAGCGAGGCGAATTTGTTCCTGCTGCTGCTGCTGCTGCTGCTGGCTTCCCCGTTGCTGGTGCGCCTGCAGCCGTACAGCCGAGGGCCCCTGCACATCTGCTGCTGCTGCTGCTGCTGCTGTTGCTGCTGCTAGTGCTGCAGTTTTCTTCCTCCCGAGGCGGGAGCCACTATACACTTTGACCGACCTGAAACGTTGGGCTGAGGCAGCGGGCCGCTCGCTGCTGCTGCTGCTGCCGCTGTTGCGACGTCGGCTGCGGCGGTGCTGCTGCTGCTGCTGTTGCTGCTGCTGCTCGTTGCATCTGTCTTCACAGCTGGCTCTCCAGCTTCCAGCAAGCCTAACAAAAACAAACAAAACGGTGGGGTTGTGGTTGCTGCAGCAGTGTTGCAGTTTCGGCAGTGCGCAGTGGCTGCTGCTGCTGCGGTGGCGGCTCGCTGCAGCCTTCGATGATTGCTGCTGCCGCTGCTGCTGTCGCTGCTGCTGCTCCTCCCCAGACAAATGAAATTGTAGCCAAAACCTTCTTTATTCTTTCAAATAACACAGAAGAACATCAATTCTTAAGAGTGTTTCGAGGTAGCTTGCTGCCGCTGCAGCTGCAGCAGCAGCGCCAGCTACGGGCGCAGCAGCAGCAGGCTGCACCGCCTGCTGGAGGCAGCAGCAGCAGCTGCTGCAGCAGCTGCTGCAGCTGCTGCCCACTTAAGCTATTTGTCATTTGCAGTCCTTCCATAATTTCTTGTCAAATGGCAAAAGAGAACCATTTGTAACTTTGCTGCTGCTGCCGCTCCTGCCCGCAGCGCGCTCACGAGCTGCTGCTGCTGCGTGGGAACGGGTGAGCTGCTGCTGCTCTTTGCCGAGCAGCAGCAGCAGCAGCAGCAGCAGCGCGAGCAGCTCTGCTGCTTACTTGGCCAAGTGTGTGCCCCTGCAGCAGGGACGCCGGGCCCTCTCCCACTTGCTGCTGCTGCTGCTGCTGCTGCTGCTGCTTGGTGCCGCCCCCAGTGTCTCTCAGCAAGTCCCCACAAGAGCTGGCTAGCTCCGCGGCTAGCCGCAGCTTCTCGCAGCTAGCTGCAACTAAAGCAGCAGCTAGCTGCAGCTATAGCAGTAGCTAGCTGCAGCTATAGCAGCAGTCACAGCAGCAGCTAGCTGCAGCTAAACACCACCTGCAGCCGCAGCTAGCCACAGCTAGCTGCTTCTAACAGCTGCAGCTAGCTCAATACGAGCAGCACCTCCGCACAGCTAGCTTAGCTAGCTGCAGCAACTCGAGGCCGCTAGCTCAGCAGCCACCGCAGCTGCAGCAGCAGCAGCTAGCCGCAGCAAGCTGCAGCTAGCTACAGCTAGCTGCTGCCAGGTGCAGCTAGCTGCTGCTACGCGCGGCTAGCTGCAGCTAGCTGCTGGCTAGCTGCTGCATTTGCTGGCTGCTGCTGCCCTCCCCACAGCCTCTTTATTGGGGTTTAGGGTTTTGGCAGGCCCTGGGGGTTCCCTAACGATTGCTAAACCCTAAACCCTAAACCCTAAACCCTAAATTCCAAACCCTAAACCCCAAACCCTACCTTTTAAACCCTAAACCCTAGCCCTAAAACAAAATTAGCTGCAGCGCTGCTGCTGCTATTAGTTGTTGAGCTCGTCGTCTAGTGGGTCCTCTGTGCGGCGCCTCTTGCTGTTGCTGTTGCTGTTGCTCCCAGCAGCAGCAGCAGCAGCAGCAGCAGCAGCAGGGGGGAACAGAGGCAAAGGCGACACAGCGTCGCGGCAGGAAGACCTGCTGCTGCTGCTGTTGTGCTCAAACTCAAAAGGAGACTTATCCTTGCAGTAACCATTCTGCTGCTGCTGTTGCTGCTGCTGCGGTTGCTGTGGCTGTTGATCTTGCTGCTGCTGCTGTTGCTGCTGCTGTTGTTGCTGCTGCTGTTGCTGCTGCTGCGCCTGCGAAGTCTGCTGCTGCTCTTGCTGCTCTTGCTGCAGCGCCTGCTCTAGTTGTTGTTGCTGCTGCTGATGGGACATCAGCAACTCACGCAGCGCCTGCATGCAAACCAGCATAGAAGTTTGCTGCTGCTGCAGCTGCTGTTGCTGATGCTGCGATTGCTCCTGCTGCTGCTACCACTGTAAAGAGCAAGAAAAAGAGCCACTGCAGCAGCAGCAGCTGCAGCAGCAGCAGCTGAAGCAGCTGCAGCAGCTGCAGCTGCAGCAGTTGCAGCTGCAGCAGCAGCAGCAGCAACAGCTGCAGCAGCAGCAGCTGCTGCAGCAGCTGATTCACCAGCCGCTTTACCTGTGTCTGCTGCGCAGAGAAATCACGCATTCTTTGCAGCAGTGCAGCTTGCTGCTGCTCGCGTCCCCTTGCAGCAGCAACTGCTGCCTGCAATCCCTCCTGCAGCAGCAGCAGCAGTAACAGCAGCAGCAGCCACGCCGCGAATGAACACCAGGAATACAAACAGCAGCATATAGGGGATGAGCTGCAGCGGCAGCAATCAAAACTGCAGCGGCAGCAGCTGGAACAGCAGCACCAACAATTACGGGAGCAGCAACAGCAGCAGCTGCAGCAGCAGCAACTGCAGCAGCAGCAGCAACAAAAGGACTGACTGCCTCTGCCTCCAATGTCGCGATTCGCTGCGTAGCATCCCTTAGTGTCTGCTGCAGGCCTCCTATCTCGCCTGCGCAGCAGCAGCAGCAGCAGCAGCAACTGAAGCAACTGCAGGCTGCTCGGGTGTGCTGCTGCTTCACTGTTACAGCCAGCTGCAGCAGCGCCAGTCGCAGCAGCAGCAACAGCGGCAGCAGGGCCAGCTGCAGTAGCAGCGGCAGCAGCAGCAACAGCAGCAACGGCAGCAGCAGCAACAAAAGCAACGCGAGCAGCAGCTCCTACCGCGCGCTGCAGTTTGAGCAGCAACAAACTGCTCCTTAATCTCCGCAAGCTGCTCCATCTGCAGCAGAAGCAGCAGCAAAATAGATACGCAGCACAGCCGTGTGCAGCAGCAGCAGCAGGACTCCGCGCTGTTCAATCTTCAGCATTAGTTGCTACAGCAGCAGCAAAGGAAGCGGCAGCAGCAGCAGTAAACGAAGCAGCAACTGGAGCAGCAGCAGCAAATGAAGCAGCAACTGCAGCAGCAGCAGCAAACGAAGCAGCAACTGCAGCAGCAGCAACAAGCGAAGCAGCGACTGCAGCAGCAGCAGTAGCACCTGTGCCCTAAGTTCTTCGTTCTCCAGCAGCAGCTGCTGCACCATGTCTTCAAGGCGCCTCTTTTCCATCACTGCGCGCTGCAGCTCAACAGCAAGTCTGCTGCCTGCTGCTGCTGCTGCTGCGCCGCTGCTGCGGCCGCTCGACCCTCGCGGGGTCAAGGGCTGCAGCAGCACATCCTGCTGCTGCTGTTGCTGCTGCTGCAGCAAAGGAGCAGCACTGGCTACTGCGTTTCCAGAGCCGGGATAGTACGCATCCGAAAGTGGAGTTGAGCGGGGGAACGGTCCTGCTGCTGCTGCTGCTGCCGCAGCAGCAGCAGCGTTCGTTGCAGGCGCTGCTGCAGCTGCTGCAGCTGCTGCAAAGCCTTGGTCTGACGCTGCTGCAGTAGCTGGCGGAACTGCAGCAGCGGCAGCAAGTCCCTGTAACCGACGATCCTGCGAGGTGTTGCGCCTTCCTGCGAAGTCCAGTTGCTGCTGCTGCTGCTGCGGCTGCTGCTGCTGCTGCTGCTGCTGCTGTGAGGCTGAGCCGCAGCAGCAGCGGGCCCCAGGAGTAGTGCATGCAGCGCAGATGCGGAGAACCAGCCGCCACCGAAAAGCTGCTATAGGGGGCCCCTCCTCTCTCACTGTGCAGCACAGCAGCAGCAGCAGCAGCAGCACCAGCAGCAGCAAGCATGAGTCCTTAGGCTGGCAGCAGGAGATGCAGCGGCCGCAGGGAGGTGGGGGCAGCAGCAGCACAACGCGTCGTGCACCCAGCAGCAACACCGAATGCAGCAGCAGCCCACCGCCACAGCAGCAGCAGCAGCAGCAGCAG